CCGCGTAGAGGTATGGTGGCGGCGATGTTTAATTTCGTTGGTTGCCAGTTGTGACTATGGCGAGTATAATTGGTCGTGAAAACGGAAGGTATTGCATTATTTTTTGTACGTTTCGTAATAATTTTTGCGTCGTAAAATAAATACATTTCCGCCAAACATATATTTATCGCCCGAGTATACAAATAAATAGACACACGCAGCAGTTACAAATTTAACAGTTTTATTTCGTCGCTGAACCGATGGCGAATTCGAAAATAATTTATTCGGAAAAACATTTGTCGAAAAAGGAAAGTAATTTTATTCTTTTTAAAAAAAAATATACTGTTTTTCGTTTTCATGAATAATATGTGACGTATATCGCATATACAATATATAAAAAAAAATATATATATATGCAAAAATATCGTGACGGTATTCCGCGTCGTCGTGATAACGCAAAGTCGTATTATAGCCTACCATATATACGAATAAAAACGCGAATCTTCAGTCGTGCGAAATTACAGGCCGGAGTCACTATAGGCCTTTGATGTCGACCCCATTTTCGGACGCGTTTCGAATACTCAAAGGTGCTTGGTGAGTATACGTATTTGTTAGTTTTTGTTTTCGATTCAAACCGCAGAGTGGTGTGTCGGCTCACGATCGGCGTAGGTCTGAAAATATGTGTCCGTCACACGCGCGTACATTGTGGTCGGCGGGATTTCGTGCAGCGGAAATCTATTTTCGTTATACCGTGCCGACGGAAACGGATAAGGCGGTATATTATGTTATACGCGGGAGATAGGAAAACGCGGTTCGGACCGGAAGTGATTGAGAAAAAAAAGAAAAGAAAAAGAATAAATAAATAAGCGGGTCGTTGTTTATGTCCGAAAACGGCGTTTCCGACTCGGCGGCAGCGGTGTTGGAGCGGCATTATACGATGCGGAAATCGTCGGTTTTTACGAACTACAATGCGCCCGAGACGATTTATAATATTATATGATATCATGTACAAAAGGTGTATGTTATCTTTGCCCACGGTCAAATCCGTTTCGGTTCTAATAATGCGAACCTCACGTAATCCCCTATATCTACCTATACTTAAGCACCTATATATATAATCTACTCCCTCGTACAATCGTATATATATATACGTTGATAATCTCGCCTTGACGGAGGATTTCACGCGTCACTGCTTAATATCGTACACCTACACTCGACGTTGACAAACAGCTGAAACAATACTGTTTCGTTACTGCGTGTATATTATCTATAACAATACCTATACAACAATAATGATTTGACGTACACACAAAAGGGAGTACGGCGTTATTGCGCGACCGAGTCGGAATTAATAATGAAGAGGAGGACGAGGATGATTAAACGGCGTATGTGTATGGTCGTGGAGAGGAGAAAAATCACGGTCAATCGTGTGATGGTAACAAATTTAAGGGGTAGCCATTAGCTTATAGCTCCGATAGGTCAATAGGGCGAATGTAAGTTTCCAAACGAATCACTGTAGGTAAAAGGTACTACCCATAAGCGAGTTCCTACGAGAAAATAAAATTAATTGATATAATATTATATATGTGATAATTCTTACTAGAAAAAAATGCTACCATTATAGTATTACACGCTTAAGTTCTACACGAATGGCAAAAACGTATAATATGTTATGTTACAGTAAAAAGTGGTTAGTTAGAAGTTGAGAAGATCGGCCAGAAAGTTCGAGTTATTCAAGAATTTGAGTTATTCAAGGATATAATACAATTATAGGACATTATAGGGACTGGGGAAAAAATTCGAGGTGTCGAGTTAAAGAAGTTCGAGTTAACCACGTTCGACTGTATTTCTAAATATATAACATTCCTACAGGAAAATTACAACATTTGCCTGATCGTGTCGTTAGACGAAAGAGTCGTAAGACTCCCACAAACTCTATCTCAGCCTAGTATAATATACTTGTACGCGATTTCGGGAGGCTTTGTGTGTATTGTCTTGTGTTGGGACACGGATTCACAGCCAATCGAATCGTGTGCAATCAAACCAGATGACGTGCATATGAAACAGGGAGGTTTTATCATGGGACGCGGGCGTTTGGAAGCGGTGGCCTGCGGAAGAGTCACTTGGACGTACTTTGGGCGGCGGCGGCGGTAATTTTTATTCACTTCCATCCCACAGGTGTTCTAAAACGTTATTCTATTAATCATTTGTAACATTTCATAACGAATAATATTATTACCATTTATCAATCACAGACGCACAAAAATACGACAACAACATACAGGTCAACACACACACACACACACACACACACACACACAATTTCACACTTGAGCATTTATACTTATTTATTTTTTTATAACCATAGTCTTAAACACGCGATAACTATAGTAATATATACTCAGTCTACTTTAGTCACAAATACAGTCTCGTGTATTACGCGCACCCATACAATAATATATAGGCATAACGCACACCCACCAATCTAAAGTTTATATACCTATATATACATAATATATGTACATATCAAGCACCTCGACGATAAAACGTTATCCTAAGTATGACATTATTATAAGGTACAACCCATAGGGTAATAATGTCGGTAATAATAATAAACACGCGTAGCGTTTTGTTTCTTTGCACACACTGCAGCAGTGGGTACATTATATAAATCACGGGGATTATGCTATATAACGTTGCGTGCGAGCGGAAAAATAATACTCGTGCATTTAAACATAAAAACAAAAAAAACCGAACAATACAAAACGAGAAAAGCGCCTACACTAAATTACATAACATATATATATAATAATATTATACACCGTACTGGAACCGTTTAATCTACGTGCAAATCTCTGCCACGACACGCCTATATGTGCGAGTATTATCGTTGTGGTATGATAATATTATTATTATTATTATTTCGATACGATATAATACACAGCTATGTAGCTGCTGCTCAATCGGTCGGTTCGATCCGGAGCCCACAAAAAAGTCTGGGGGAAAAAAAATACCACCCGTGAACTCGAGTCGGATTAACGCACACAGACGGAACGGATATTTCAAACTCGTGATCGGCTTTTCGCACAATAATATAATAATATTACAGGGCGGTAGCATAGGTTAGGTAGATAGCGATGAGTGTGTCAATCGACGATCGTATCTCTTTCCGAGGGGTTCAGTAGTAGTAGTATTCCGGGGCAGTGATATAGAAAAAACAAACGGTAATATTTCAATAATTATTGTCCTCATCGATATTAGTATAATACGGTGCGCGGCAAGGCGATGTGAGACGATATGTCACCGTCATACGAACAGTACACAAGTACACAACAGCAGAAGAAGTAAGTACTTACTATAGAGATTTAGACGTGAAAAAACGAGACGATAATACAACACAGAACATCAATTATATTATTGCGTTTGTAGCACACGCGTTGGTGTCGACGACCAGCGTTTTTTTACTAGTAATTTTGATAGTAATATGTTTGCCATAATATCGCCATATACATTCATTAACTGTTCGCGTAGACGGTGAGGTACTCGTGTCTCGTTGTACTGTATAGGAAGAAAATGGTCGATCGACCGAGTTTTAGTTTCGAAATTAGATTTTAATTAATTTAACGCACGTCGATAAGTTGTGGATACTTCAAATAGGTTCCTATATCATTTATGTACGTCATAAAGGATGATCGGTGCTATCGAATGACGACAATCGGCGTACCTACAAACCTAACCTATGCCACCACTGCTCACAGGACAATTTTCGACGCTTATTTAATGCTTCGATAATGCGGGCTTCTCCTTAACAAGTTACAACTCCATAAAATATTAATCAATTTCGAAATGGTCTAATCCTGACGATTTGTCGTTCTAAGTACAATATATCTTAAAACTATAAATCGATTCCCATAAACTATTAAGTAGCGAAAAGCACTTCTACAAGTTAGATATTTGATTATACATATGAATCGGGATAATTTATTTATGTCAAAATATATTTACGAGTTAATTTACAAGAAAATGTAACTACTGAAACACCGATCTAAGTAATTCGTCTAATAACGGAACTTAATTTATAGTAATTATTATACAAGTAACGTACGTTTATCGAATTATGTATTTATAAAGTTTTGATTAATCGTAGTATAAGAAGTTTGAATTTTGACTACTAACACGGTTATCATAGACACATATTATTAGATTATATTATACATCGAGCGATAATTTTAATGTAAATCAGTCAATAGCTCAAATTATTTAGTTTCAAAAAGGAATATTATATGACGACGTTATATTCGTTCTATAAATTACTTGTACGACTGTACATTAATATTATAAGTATAAAAACGAAGATTTATCATTTTAAATCCACAAGATGACAGTACACATTTAAGTACGCATATAGAAGAGGGACGAAGGATGATTTTGTGACTAATAAAAAATAGTGTAAACATACATTATACGATTATCTTAACATTAAAACATTTAGAGATATTGACCGATTAACGCTGAATGAATATCACGACCTAAGTTTATACTTGTCCACGGGTGTCGGTTATATTTTACAAAATGTGTAACTTTCTAAGGGTCAGTTTCTTGTGAAATAATGAGTTCGTTTGTGTTACTCTTTCAACGTATTTTATTGTATTCACTTTATAGTTTCGCGCATATGGCGAAATGTGACTGTTGGTAAAAATACGTTTGGTTTGTTTTATCTTTATCGAAGCGTAACTCTGGAGCTACATTTCGAGGTAAACCACAAAACGTATACGTTTATGTCCTATAATCGTCCTATAATTGTCTAGTAATTGTTTTATTGTAGTTACAAAATTATCGAGGCAGTGATAATATTGATCAACACGGTGGGTAGGTACTAATAATATACCAAAGAACGTAATACATTGTTATAAACACATAAACAGTATAGTCATTAGGATTAATCTCTAAATTAATAATCTTACCATGTACGCTTTACATCTTAAAAGTATTCTTAATTTAATCTAACTGTAAGCTTATGCTTATGGACCGGACAGTTTTTTAGTCACTCCTCTGTGGGTCTGTTGTTGTTCCAGCGAACTTTTGCACATCAACAGGTTCTTGTACGCTTGACGGTACTCGGAGCTCATGACCACGTAAATAATTGGATTGATGCACGTGGTCAAATATATTAGGACATATGCGGTTATGTTTAGCACGTGCAAGTCGTCCAGTTCGTGTGATGTCTTGCTAATGGTGATCGGCAAGTAGCATGTGACAAATGATGCAAATATTACAAGGATCATTTTTAGCAGCTTCTTGTCTTTCGACGACATCCTGTCAACGCCAATGGTGCTCTGTTTGCGTGTCCTCGGAGAGGAGTCCTCTTTTGTCTGAAACACCTGTCCAACAATATTGTTATATTAACGTTTAAAGACATTTGATGAACACAATGATGTTGGCTAATGATTGTAATACATCTTAAAACTATACAATTTAATCAACGGGTTATATTAAGAAAGTAGGTAATTAATTACTATATTTAAAAAAAAGAATAATCGCAACTATTATTAATTGATTGTCATTGAATATATTAAATTAAAATATGATTAGTAATATAAAAATTAATCTAGTTTGTAACTATATTTCGTTACAATATTAATGATTGGTATAATCTAATACAAAATGAGACAACTTATAATAACGTCATATAGTTTATTTTTCATGCATATAACTTATAGTTTTATATTTATTTTTACTAGATACAGTTCATTATATTTTTTATGGTGCTTAAATAAAGACAGGATATTAATAATTCTGTTATCTTATGAAAAAATCTATTTGTTCATTCGTGTGTGTAGTTATTAGTAGAGCTATAGAAGTTATGACTATTACCATTGATTATAAATACTAGTATTTATAATCAACGCTATTACCAAATATATGCAATAATTGTATCATAAAGACCTACCGCTGATACGACTTGAGTGATGGTGGCGTTGAGGGCGGACGATGGTGAACGGTCGCGTCGTCTGGAACTCCTGCGATCAGAGAAGGATATCGGCGAATAACTCTCTTCGAGTCCGGACGAACTAGGGTTGGCGATAATGTCATGTGGGGAAAGGAAGTTTTGTTCCTTCGAATCGGTAGTGGAGCACGTGCCGGTAGCTGTACTGGATCCGATGGCCGAGTCTGTTGATATCTCGGGCACCTTGAAGCGGGTCTTGAGAGTGTAATAGGGTGTGGCGTCCGACGGCTTGGTATTCATCGTGTGACGTGGGTTAGTTGTCACCGTAGCCCGTGACTTGAGGGCTGTTTTTCGGACGATATAGAAAATCCGAGCGTAACACACCACAATAGACAAGCAAGGCACCACAAATGCACCCATGAACAGGATTTCCTTTGGCGACCGACCAACAGAGTCTGGGAGTATGGAGCACGAGCCAACGGTCACGTCTAAACCGAACTGGCCCCATTTTCCAAGCCATGTGGGTATCAGTAACCCAAAACCACCGACCCAAGTCACCGTCACCATAACGCCCAAATAGAATTTCTTATACAACCTGCAAACCAATTCAATGCACAATAAGTATCCATATTTGCAAGTTTCAAAACGATTTAGAATGATGGGTTTGGAAAGCAAACAATAATTTTCTTCTTGAAAACTTCTATATAAATTGCAAATATAGAAAATAACAGGAAAAATATGATGGCATCAACTGTCTAATATACTTATTTGCGTCAAAATATCATATATATATTTAATGTTGTTATATTTGTACATTAAAATTATTATTTTGGATTAAATTCACAAAATATAAAATTAATATCGTATGTCAGTCATACTCCACCCGGTTCCTCGAACAACTCTGAGCTTAAAAAATATTTTACATTTTGTGTATTATACTATTTTTTTAAACTAAAATGTGTTCATGGCGATGACAGCTTAAGTCAAAAAATTTCCAATATATTCATGAAACCTTCTATCAAACAAGTGACAAGTAATTCTCTGTGTGTCTTCTTAAATTAAAGACAAATCCAGATAACAATAATAGTTTTAAGTTAATTCATCCCACTAAATAAAATGAACAAAAATGAAAAATGCGTAATTAAATTTAATAAATTGATTTAGCTGTTCAAAGTTTAAATATACAATTAAATTACAAATATAATATACAGTTTATTGTTTATATAAGTTAAGATAAGTTAAATAATTTATAAGATTTAAATCAATCTCTTTTACTAATACAACCAAAATAGGGATAATTAGACAAAATTATATTCATATAAGAACTAATTTACTATATATTTGTTTTTTTTTTAACTTTTAGTTGGTAGTAATTACTAATTACTATTGTTTTTGGAAAGGTCGTTTGAAATGTGAAATGGAAAAAACTGTAATAAGATTGATTTAAAAAAATAAATAGTTATTATAAAAAATAGTAATATTCATTTACTTTGGGTAAAGCGACGGATGTCCAATCATGATGTATCGATTGATGGTTATAGCCAGTATGGTAAATAGGGACACGGCTAACAAACCGTATCTGACTAACGGGAAGAGGCGGCAAAGCAATTGGCCGTGTATCCACGATCTGTACCAGAATGTAGAAGCAGCCAGTGGTAAGTTGAAGCAACAAAAACTCAAATCTGACACGCTGAGGTTGATGATGAATACCGCTGTTGCGTTACGCACCTGAAACATTCAATCATTCAGCTGCGTTAGTTAATTAACAAAAGAAAAATCTTAAAATGTACAATAGTTACAATATTTGGACACAGAATACATAATATAACAGATGTAATTTATATTATATTATCATATAGGTAGGTAGGTATCTAATGAAATTAATAATTTTAATTAATTAATTATTACTATATTTATAGAATATGACATTATATTATCAACTATAAAATATGGTTTAGTAAGAACGATTTTTTGATGGTGTATAATATAATGAGTGATGACAGATTAAATAATTAGAAAAAGAATAACATGAAAACCAATCGATGGTAAGTATAATGTGGTTACCAGAACGTATCTGGCAACAAACAAGAGGAGGGGTCTGCGAGAGATAAGCAACTAGTAGAGTTGACGTCCGAAAAATTGAATTATCGTTTTTGGCTGACACGTTAAATGACATAAAATGAAAAAAAGTATCCATTAAATGAGATGGGGGATAAAGAAATCTTCAATAAACTATATATCATATACACGTCCTATCCCAATATTATAAAGTTGAGAGCATGCAGTTGGACGCAAATGCGAATTACTCACACAAGAATTACTTTTCATATTTTTTTTTCCCGAAAAAAATAACACAATGGATTTTGTGACTGTTTATTCGACAGAACACATACTATATGTATATGCATCTTCAGTGTGACTTTTTTTTTATTGGAAATTTGGTTTAGAAAATGCGAAGTAAATCTATAAAATATATATTATACTTCACCGATTGTATCACACAACTGATCAAAATTTGTTATTTTGTTAATAATACAATTTATATCAATCACGTTTTATCGAGATTAAATAATAAACACAAGTGACGTGAAAAATTGAGCTGGAGTAAGTTTTTCAGAAAAAATGTATAGTTTACAAAAGTTAATTTTGATTTGATAAAAATGGCACGTGACTTTATTAAACTTATACATTCCGGTTCAGTCGTCTATAAAATGTGACTTGATGAGGCAGTGACAGACAAATAACAGTACCATTATTTCTTGATAAATAAACAAATATATATTATATTTGTGTGTTTGAATGTCTATATAATATTTTTCCAAAATACAATTTATATTCGATATTATAAGTTTTGATAGGTTTGTTGAACTTATTAAAATGTTGAAAATGTAGTACAATTTTTCGTTTTTTCTTTTGGCAATGAAGAACTTGGAATCCTCTTTAAAACGATAAAATTACTTTTAACTGTATTGTGATGATATTCATCTTAGAATGTTTGAATTTAATAGATCATAAAAGTTGATACAATACTACAATATTATATTATTACTATTATAAAATTACATGTTGACATATTCTTACCCTAATATAGGAGTACAATTATCTTGAGAAACTTTTTTTAGAATTAAAAAAGCTACTGAAAATGAAGTTTTTTTTATTGAGATGTGATAATATTCATTTGAATGGCGTGGTAATAACTTTTCATTGGTTCCATACATTTTTATTAAGATTTAGAATTTTAGTATTGACCATAAACATTAAATTGTTTGAATATTAGCCACATTTACAGGATTTAGAGAATGTTCTGAATATATTGACGGTTAAATTAATATAGGTAATCACTACCTTTTAGACTGTAGTATGATCTCCATCATCAGATACTATTATATGGGTCCCGGCAGAACTATTCTCTTTAGACAATTGGAATTATTATTTTTTTATCTCAATTTATCTTATACGATTTCAGTAGATCGGGCGAGCCAAGCATCGGTTCACACCCTAAACGAACGCTCATTTATCTTTGTTTCAAAGATGTTTGGATTCTTCTTTAAAACATACCGTATAATATATTATGTAGTGAATAGTAATGCATTGACAATAGAACGTTTTAGTTTAAATTTTCTCGAGAAGAAACCGCGGAAAACCTATGCACAAAAAAGTTCAACCTTTTAACATCGTCACGCATAGTGGAAACGCGTACGTAGAAGAAACATAAATAACGGAAAAAAAGCAAATTCATGTATTATAATATTATCAATGATGCATTCGTCCGGATGCAGTTTACGGGTTTGAATAGTCTGATTGTGGATTGTGTGTACAAATAATATGCGATGGACAATGGACATTGTCGCGGTGATTCACCTCACTATCGGACGAGTGTTTATTTAACGTAAGGTTTTATTTTTATTTTTCGCCTCACAATAATTGACATTTTACATTTTCATTGTTGCGCTTGCATCACAGAATAACAGGATTTATGACACGACAGAGTGTCTACTCCCGAAGTCACGGGATTTTATTCAGGCTTGCAGTAGGTGGTACTAATCGGATGATGTTGAATTCATAATGATAAAATAACATTTTGGATTATTAAAAAGCTATGAACATTAAAAAGATAAATTGTGCCATGTATATCATATACCTACTCTAATATATTTTATATTATCGTGATGTGCAAACAATATTTAAAGAAAAATAACAAATGCGATTGATAATAATTATTATAAGCTCTGTTTTTACATCGCAATGCACTTTGCATATTATATTATATTTTATAATCTAAAATAATATAATTTTACTAACGGTTTACAGTTAACTCAAATAGAATTATTTTGGTAAATATAGCCAATCAATAGGTACGTATTTCGGTTAGTCATATATATTGTACGTTTGTATTGTCTACTGTTTTTTTTTTTTTTGCTGCGATAATGAGTGATTTGGTAAACGTCGGTATCTAGGTTTTGTGTAATAATAACCTATTATCTTACTTGAATCGACTTGTCTTTGCCACCACCAGGGAATAATCGTGTGCAGCTATAACGTCTGATTCCGACACACAATGCAAACTCATTAATTGCTGAACCCAGTAGAAGGCTTAAGTTTATTAATATCAATTTATTTAATAAATGACACTCGGTGGGCCCATAATATAGTAAAGGTGATTACAAACGACGTAACTGTTGACAGGCTGTATAAAACAAAGGTTATATAGATCTCAGGATCATAGTAAAAGATGATAAAACCACTGAATGCACACGAAAGATTCATTAAAAACAAATTATAACTGTAATAACTATTAAGGTGTGACGAGACAGCTTAAAAGTTAAGTACAATACCTTTCGTGGAAAACGTTTTTATTATAGATGTTTATTTTATATAAATACATTGTTCTACCTTCTAAGACATAATTTGTATTGTTATTCTCCTACCTACCAAATATTATATTCTGTAACGATATTACTTATTTGTAATTACAAATAAACTGTATAAACTTGCAATGGTATAATGGAAATTGGAAATATTATTATAATTTTATTTTTTTATATACGTTACATTATTATAGACATGGCATAAATAATGGAATACAATGAAATAAATTCCACATAAACTATATATTGTATTCAAAACATTACATTTGTATTTTTATTATGTAAAAGTTATATGCATATTGCATAGTATAGAATTTATTTAAAAAAAAAACAGGATTGTATTATTTTTGGCTATCTAGGTTACAATATTATTTGAAATAAGAAACAGATAATACTTCCGAATTTTATTCTAAGTAATATCAGTTTCGATTAATCTTTTGTACGTATATTAACTGCTGTCTGATTTTTTGAAAATTTAAACTAAATTTATTTATAAGGTAATACGTAGATTGTAGATACATTTAACCTCTCACCAATAGTTTAATATTATTTTTTAGTAGGTATTTGTTTTTATTACATATATTATATTACTACCTAGCTGAATTAAGTACGTACCCGGCGTTGCTCGGAAAAAAATTGTAATTTTTCAACTGCTTTTGGGTGTAACACTCTGTGGAAGCAATGTTTTTTTAGGTGTAAATGATTTTATATTTTAATTTATAGCCATCCCGACCGGCGTTGTCCGTGAGATTCGCTTGTGATTATGTGAGCAGTATATTATCATCTGGGCAATGTACCTGCTGTAAATCGCTGACCCTGCGTGGTGTGTACGTAAGTGTACAGTCTAAATAGTATCACAGTTATGATTTGTCGTTTTTAGTTAACTAAACCTACAGTGAATTAATACAATCAATTAATACAAAATCCTATCCTAACCTACCAACCTATCAATTAATACTAAAATTCGATGAATAAAAAAATACCAAAAGTTCGTATGTAAGGGGATAAAGAAGTAAAAATAAAAAATAACAATGAAAAAAATTGGTTTAATGAAACCGTGGTTCGAACTAGAGATACTCTGTACTAAAATACACAGGCTTATCACATTAATAATAATTATTATTATTACTAAAACCAATAGCAACAATTTATATAAACAAAAATGACCATCGTAAATCTCAAAATCCCTGTTTGAGAACCTCCCCGGTTTGGACATATTATTTACCTTTTGTCGTGACAAAATGTAGCCTAACTTCTTCCCCAAGATCTAATCTACCTTTGTACCAAATTTCATCGCAATCAGATGAACGGTTTAGGAATGTATAAACTATAAAGGACAGACGGACAAACATTAATTTTTGTACATATAGATACAAATACAATAGTTACATACATACGTACATGGAAATCTGGTATATACATATATTATGGTAAGCAATATTTTTAATCATGTTATATTATGGGGTTCTTTTAAATATTTAATTGTATTTTTATTTTTAGAAAAAAATATTTTTGTATTTTTAATAAATTAAAAATATTTAAAAAACAAAATATATTAAATTTAAATCATTTAGTAAAATAATATTGTATATTATATAATAAATTAATACTTTGTTTTAGTTGTGACCTCCGACGCGTGACCTTCCGTTTGGGTATCATTAGTATAGACACAGGACCATTATAATTTAAAACGTAAATTAAAAATCATAAATTTGTGTTCTTATAGTATAAATAACAAATATAAATAATACAGGCAATTACAATGTCAAAATAGTTAAAATCCTTCCTAAACGCATTTATTAATTGTAAAATTAGTTTTATTGTATATTTTGAACATTTTGATATAATTTTTCTTTTGTAACTACATAA